CCCCACACCCTCACTAGCAGTTGTTATTTTCTGTTTTGTTGCACTTTGCTATTCATGTATGGTAGAACCACTGTGGAAAGCAGTATGGCGATTCCTTAAAAAGTTGGAAATTGAAATACCATTTGACTCAGCCATTCCATTCTAGGTATATATCCTAAAGAAGTGAGAGCCATGACAAGAACAGACATATGCACACCCATGTTCATCACAGCACTATTTACAATACCCAAAAGATGGAAACAACCTAGGTGTCCATCAACTGAGGAATGGATAACCAAACTATGGTACGTACACACAATAGGATACTATGCAACCCTGAAGAATAACGCAGACTCTGCAAAAACACTGCATAATGTGGATGAATTTGGAGGACATTATGCTGAGTGAAGTAAGTCAATCACAGAAGGACAAATATTGTTATTAGTCCGTTATTGTAAAAATCAAGGAAAAGTTTATCTATGGAAGGAAATTTTCTTTGTCGATTACCAGGGGTGGGAGGGGAGGGGAGGGAACACTGTTAGATAAGTAGAGTAGTATTGATTTGGGCGAAGAAAAGGGCAATGTACCAAATGTGAGTGATCAACATGGTGGCATTAAGGAAAAGGAAGACATAGAGAGGTACATGGGAGGTACAGACAACAAAGATGAGCCCTTTTGCACATACAGTACTGCACTGTCAGTGAAGACAAACATGGGTATATGGGTGGATAGATGGGTGGACAGGCTGAACTATTAGGTATGTCAATGCAGCAGGGAGTGTACCCAAGACCATATATAGGGTTGGCAGACAATGGTTCTACAAGTGTATTTGTATGTTCTCTAAGAATTCCCAGATGTATAGGAGAGCTGACAAGGGACAAGGTTGTAGTCACTTCTTGGTCACAGCCAGCTACCCAGAGGGACTGAGTAGTTGAATCTGTGGGCTTGGGACCATACTCGCAGAGGACATCAAGCTCAATCGAATAACATATTACACAAAACATTGTTCCACTTCCTACTTTGGTGAGTAGCGACTGGAATCTTAAAAGCTTATAAGCAGCCATCTAGATGCAACGATGGGTCTCTCCTGTCTAGAGCAAAGAAGAATGAAGAAAATCAAAGATTCATGGAAACAATTAGTCCTAGCGACTGGTAAACCATGCGATCCGCAGCCTATATAACTACGAGACCAGAAGAACTAGATGGTGCCCATCTACCACTGTCAACCATGAATGTCAGAGGGGGATCTATGTAGGAGATCCTGGATAGAGAGGGAGAATAATATGGAACAGAACTCAAAATCATTTGGAAATGAAAAAAACAGGTTTGCTGGTCTGATAGAGCCTGGTGGAACCCTGAGACTATAGCCCCTAGCTAACCTTCAGGTCTGGAATTGAACCCGTACCTGTGGCTTCCAGCCAAACACAAGACAGGCATATGAGCTGAACATTTACCTGAGGTAGATACACTCCTTGGAGAGAACAATCATGGGAGAAAGAAGGGCTGTTTATACACAGGGAGATAACTCAAGGGGCAGGCGTACATGGACGGATGGACACAGGGAAGAGGCAACTATCGGGAGGAAGTGGGAGGGGAGCTGTTGCATTGTGGTAAATTGTAGTCAATGTGATGAGACAAAGTGTATGTGAGCTGCTGTATGGAACGTGAATTCACTCTGTAAACTCTCACCCATATCACAACTGAAAAAATAAAAAAATTCACTGCCTCTATTGATGGGTACAGATGGGTCTAGCTATTCTGGAGAAAAATCTAGCAACACTTCCTCAATTTAAATATGCTGTAACTACAACCCAGCAATCTCGCCCCTAAGTAAGTATGCCAGAGAAAAATTTTCACATGATCGGTAATAAGATGTTCAGGGCAGCTTTGGTGGTGACAACTGAAAGCTAGAACCAATCCATCCTAAGAGAATATCCACATAAGCCAATGCAGAAGAAACACACAATATGTAATTCCAGTACCAGGTGAAAATGAGGAAATAATATACACAAAGAGATATAAATAAATCATAAAAACTGTTTTGTACAGAAAACCGTGAGAAAAAGAACACAGTTTCTATTAGAACAGTCTTAAAAATATCACTGCTGCATTATTTTTCAGGGCTTGACCTCCATAACCAAATTTTTTAAAAGACTAGAAAACAAGCTGATTTTCTGGGCACTTTGGAAAAGCGTATGAGAGAGAAAGCAATCAAAGGCTGAGAAATGGTCCTAATGGCTTATTTGCAAAGATTCCTGTGGCTTCCTTTAATATAAACATCAAATCAGGGAGATGCTGGAAATTAATTTGTCCTATGATCTTCCAAAAGGAATTACAGATCAGTCCTTGTTGTTGTTGTTGTGTACCGTCGAGTCACACCTGACTCATAGTGACCCCTCCTTGGGTTTCCGAGGCAGTATCACTACGGAAGTAGGATTGCCCAACCTTCCTTCCGAGGAGTGGCTGGTGGGTTTGAACCGCCAGCCTTCTGGTTAGCAGGCAAGTGTCTTAGCCACTATGCTACCAGAGCTCCTGATCAGTCCTTAGAAGGTGCCAAATAGAGGGGGGTGGGGGAATGAACTTTATACTCTCCTGGAAAAATGATGTTATTCATAATATCTGAATTGATCATTCTCTCTCAGTTCTCTAAACTAAGCCTAGAAAAGCAATAGACATAGAGTTGGGAAATCATCCAAATCTCTGATATCAGTGTTTGAACAGGTCTTAGCTATTTTTCTGGAAATAATTCCCCAGAATTCTTATATCAATAATTTAGAAAATACACATGGGACTGTTACTTGGACTTTCTGTACTTCAGGGCTGTTCCTGTTATTAACTGAATAAAACTTCATATACTTTGACTGATACCTTGGTTTCTTCTAGATTTAATCTAACATGGGTGTTCTGGTCATCTAGTGCTGCTGTAACAGACATATCACAAGTGGATGACATTAACAAATAGGGATTTATTATTTTCTTACCGTTTCAGAGGTTAAAAGTTCAAGTTCAAAATGCCAGTTCTAGGGGGTAGGTGAAGGCCCTTTGACTTTGGGCTTCAGCTCTGTCTCTTACTCCTGGCTCAATGAAGCTGGAGGCTTCTCAACTCAGCTGCTGGCTGCTGAAGCTGACAAACCCAAGGCTGACAAGTAAAATGATACAGGCCTAAGATTATTAAGCAACATGGCAGACCACTAGTTTAAGTCCAGAAACAGTTCCAAGATGAGCAGGCAACATGGCAGGCTGCTCAGATGCAGACTCAGCTACATGCAGGGTCCATGTGCACCAAAAAGATCAGAGCCCTTTTTCAAAGATGCTTCTTATATACTGGAAGCAGGCAACATCTCTAAGGAAGCCACTCTGCAGATTCTACCATGGAGGTGATTACCAGTCTCATCATGGGGAATCAATACATCCAGCTGCCCAGCCACTCAAAACAAGGCCCGCCAAGTTGACACATAACCTTATCTCCCACAATGGGGAGAGGCGGGGAAGCTCTGGTAGCGTAGTGCCTAAGTTACTTTTGACTGCTAACCAGAAGGCTGGCGGTTCAAACCCATCAGCCACTCCTCGGACAGAAGGCTGGGCAATTCCGTAGTGATATGCCTCAAAAATCCAAGGAGGGCTTGCTATGAGTTGGGTCCAACTCCACCACACATACCACCACCACCACCACCACCACCACAGTGGGGTTCAGAACATTTCACAAAATGGATACAAAAAACTTGAATTTAACAAAAGATTCCAGGAAAAGTTAACAGCTTTAAAATACAGGTATGCTTAAACATTCCCTTCAGAACCACAGATAAATTTAAGGATTGTCTTTCTTCACTGGAAGTATTAGTTCGTGATTATTAGAACAATTTTTCAAACATAGAATAAATAAATATAGATGCGGTTTGGAGTTATCTGCATGATCAACAGCACATTTTCAAAAGTAAACAAATACCTATAAATACTTGAAATCAAACTGACTACCATGGAGTCCATTCCTACTCAAAGTGACCCCTCCTTGGGTTTCCCAGGCAGTATCACTAATGAAGTAGATTGCCCGGTACTCCTTCCAAGGAGTGGCTCATGGGTTTGAACCGCCAGCCTTCTGGTTAGCAGTCAAGTGCCTTAGGCACTAGGCCACCAGAGCTCCCACTCCTGTATATACAATCCAGGTAAAATGACTGAAGTGCATCCAGCGTCAGGATATAACTAAAAATAAAAAAGTTTGGAAAAGCTGGATCAAAACCTAAGACAGAAATGCTACTGCTTTAAATAATCGCTGAAGAGTTGACCAGTTTCTTCTGAAGTTTAAGGCAACATATTTTCAGACTTTCATCACTGCCCTGTTATTCACACTTCGCTCAAGTGACCCCTTGGAAATCTTTGTTCCTCCTATTAAGCAGATATACTACTACTATTAGTGGAAACTATTATGTGGATTTTATTTCTAAACTACTGTTTATCATCATGCAAGGCAGTATTAGTTTGCCCTCCCTGCAATTAACTTAATCGAGGAGGATCCCTAAATACAAACGGATTACCTTTTAGCACACAAAACTAAAAAGTTGGCAAACTGTTAACCCGTTATTATCCCCATGTCTTATTATTTTTTAAAACTCAAAGGACGCCACATACATCCATAAATAACTGTGGAGCAACTATGGGCCAGGTTAGAAAGAAAATGAATTTGAAGTGAAGGTGAATCGTTGAGTACACTAAAGAGACTGATTTTACACATTCCTCCAGAAGTCCGGAGACTGATGGCCGCCACGCGCGGCGTGGAGAGTACTGAGAGGGGAGGCAGCTGCGAAAAATGACACGTAGGGACCGAGTCCCGGGGGTACGACGAGGCGGCTCCAGGGCGCGAGGCCTCCCAGGCCCCCGCGCCGCGCGCCCCTCCCCTCAGCTTTTTGCGCAGCCTCTCCCGCCCCTCCCCACCCGGCTCCCTCAAGTCTCACGAACGGAAATGGGAGTCACAGCGTCGGGGACCAGCGGAAACAAAACACAGAGGCGGGCGCGGGGGGGTCGCAGTGGGGGAGATGGCCCCGGAATGAAGCCAGCCCGCACAGGTCCGCGCTCCCTTCCTCCCCCGCAGCCGCACTCACCCACTTCTGAATAGGCCTTGTGGCCCCCGCCCGCTCTTCTGAGCCGGCTGAGTACGGCAGCGACAACGACTCCACGTGCAGTCTCTCCGGGTTAAGACCTGAAGCTTCCACGACTCGAATGCGAGGCCCCCGGGCCCTTCCCGCGGAATCGGCGCTAGGAAACCCCAACCCCCCCACCCGCCTCCCAGGCTCCCCCGGGTCCAGAACTACAACTCCCAGCAGGTTGCGCGAAAGGAACGCCCGGGACAACAGGCTCACGAGGAACAAGGACGCACAACGCCCCAATCCGTTCTTTTTCACACTCTTTCGCCTTCACTGTACATTTGTACACTTCCAACAACCCCAAGAAACAGGAGGTTGACTCCCAGTGGGGACTGAACTAGGGGAGAGGCCAGTCAAACTGCGCATGCGTAAAAACAAGGTTTCCAGAAGGGAAAAAAAGAGTAGGTCAAGTTAGGCGAAGGAAAGATGGCGGATACTTCGCTAGGAGACCCGGAAGCACTTACCCTCCACTTCCTCCTCCTGTTTGGCTTCTGTCTCACCTAGAGCCGTCCGGTCGCAGACTGTCTTCGAGACGCTTCCTGTCCGGTGAGCGTCGACCGATTGCAGCGGCGGCCCATAATGCATTGCGATGGCGGGGAGGCGGGTGGGGGCGGAGCCAGAGCCGGAAGTAGAACGGTGGCGGAGGCGTTGGAGGTGGCTGTGTGGCAACTCGGGACTGAAGTGCAAGGTGACTGGGAGGATGGTTTGAACCAGCTTGGCTTCTTGGGACTCCGGTTCTGGGTTTCTGCAGGGGTCCTGGGCTGCGTGACCCGGGACCAGGAGGAGAGGGCAGCTGTCTGTCCTGGGCACTTTGGCGGCCTGGTCCCGGGTCACGCTGACCTCGGCGCTTTTAGGCCCTGAAGCTTGCGTGACTCAATAGATAATCCCGATAATACTTTCTCTGAGCGTAAAGGGAAAGGATGTCGGGGAGACAGAGAAGCCTGGGGTCATGAGCACACAGGCTGGCTGCACCAGTTTACTGTCAGACGCGCGGTCCAGGACTGCGGCAAGGTCAGCTCAACCAGGCCACGCAGGAGGCCCCCTCATCTGAACTATTTAGGCAGGAAAGTCGCCCGAAGATGGAGGGGAAAGGGTGGTCTTAATTTTAAAAGTATACATCCCAGCTAAAACTGTTGGTGGTGCTAAAACTTCGTTTGGCAGCTTTGAGGATTGATCTCAGGAATGTTAAGTGAGGAGGCAGTGAACGGACTAATCTTTGGCTTGTCAGTGATCCCTAAATGCCAGAACCGTTATGTTCTCCCACCACAAGGCCTCTACATGCTGTACCCTTGTCATTCTCTTTCTTCATTTATTCTGTCTTCAAGTAATAGGGAAGTCTTGCCTAGTTTCCTGACTATGCATCCTCTTGACATCCCATCTCACTGGCATGGAGTCAATTCCGACTCATAGCGTCCCCGTTGGGTTTCCAAGGTTGTAAATCTTTAGGGAAGTAGATTGCCTCATCTTCCTCCCGTGGAGCATCTGGTGGGTTTGCACCTCACGCTTTTTGATTAGGAGCCAAATCCCTTACCCACTATGCCACCAAAGCCCCTTGTGACACCTCATAGTAGTACTCAACTATAGAACTTATCATGGTTGATATTGTACATTGATTTGTGTAATAACATCTGCCTTCTGTGTAGCAATAGACAATCAACACTCACTATGTGTATGTTCATAAAAATAAGGGAAAAAAGTTTTGATACTGAGAGGAATGTGTTCATTTATTGCACAAATTGAGTTTGGGGACCAGTAGGACTTAGAAGGGGATGAGAGCTGTTGAACAGATAGACTTGGAGTTCAGGGAAAATAAATTAGAATTAGAGATGTGATTTGAAAATCATTAGTAGTTGTTTTTTTCGTTGTTGTTGGTGGTGGTTATAGTTAGGTGTTGTCAACTCGGTTCTGACTCATAGCGACCTTATGTAAAACTGCCCAGTCCAGTGCCATTCACAATCATTGCTATGTTTTGAGTCCATTGTGGCAGCCACTGTGTCATTCTGGTCTTGTTTAAGGTCTTCCTCTTTTTTGCTGACCCTCTGCTTTACCATCCATGGTGTCCTTCTTCAGGGACTGGTCCTGCTAACATGTACACAGTACATGAGACTAAGTCTTGCCAGCCTGTCTTCTAAGGAGTTGTCTGACAGTACTTCTTCCAAGACATAATTTGTTTGTTCTTCTGGCAGTCCTTGGTATATTCAGTATTCTTTGCCAGCACCATAATTCAAATGCATCAGTTCTTAGATCTTCCTCATTTGTTGTTCAGCTTTGACAGGCATACGTAGAGATTGAAAATACCAGGGCTAGGGTCAGGTGCCCCTGAGTCTTCAAAGTGACATCTTTGCTTTTTAACACTTTAAAGAGGTCTTTCGCAGCAAATTTGCCCATTGCAGTATGTTTGATTTCTTGACCACTACTTCCACAGTGGTTGTTAGGTGCCATCAAATAGATTTCAACTGATAAATAATAAATAATTAAAGCAATGTAAATGGTTTTCACCCTTGTTGTATTAGAAATGACATGATCTTTACAGCCATTATTGACTCAGAGCAAATTAACTAGGTATGTGAGCAATTTAATAACTTTTCCAGACATAGTTTTATCATTTGTGAATGAAGGATGAGAATAGCTTACTTGACGGCACATAACAACAACAACAACAACAGTGCTCGTGGTTCAAACCCACCAGCCACTCCTTGGAAGGAAGGTTGGGCCTAATTCTGTACTGATACCGCCTCGGAAACACAAGGAGGGGTCGGGTTTGACTCGATGGTAGTGAATTAGTTTTTTTAACAGTATTCCTGTAAGGGTATAAGGATACCATACATGTTCTCATATGTATGGAGATACTTCATGAAATATTTAGAGTTGAATGAATGTTAGATCACCTTACTGCTGAGTGTTAAATCTATCTTTAGGTTACTAAAAGGAAAAAGTATACATTGAGTTGCACAATATTTCTTCTATGTATTTGTATTTGAGTCAGATTCCACCACTGTGACTCTGGACCAGATATTTAACTTCTAAACCTCAGTTTCTGTTTATGTTAAAAGGAAATGATAGTAAGAGGCACCTTATGGGGCCATTTGCCCCTTGCTTGGAGTTTTTTCTTTTTCCTGTTTTTTTTTAAATTGTGATTTGGGTGAAAGTTTACAGACCAAATTCATTTTCCATTCAAAAGTTCATACACGTTTTGTTAAGACAAATAAACCTGGTCTTTTTTTTTTTTTTTTTTAATGGTTCTGAGTTTTGTTTCACCTTTTTTTTTCCCCATTCTGTCTAGGATGTCCTATTCTGATCCCTTTCTGAGTGGTTGACAGTGGCAGCTGGATGCCATCTAGTTCTTCTGTTCTTAGAGTCATGTAGGCTGAGGTTTGCATGGTCTGCTAGGACTATTTGCTCCCTTGCATCTTTGGTTTTTTTAATTCTTCTTTGTTCCGGATGAGGAGAGACCAGTAGTGGCCACTTAGATGGCCACTTGCAAGCTTTTGAGACCCCAGTCACTGTTCACCAAAATAGGATGTAGAAAAATGTTTTTGTGTAGTATGTTATGCCCGTTGAGCTTGATGTCCCCTGCAACCATGGATGGCCCTGAGCCAAAGGCCCAGGAACTCACTCCCTTAAGATGTTTGGCTGTAGCTAAGAAGTTACAGTAACTCTGTCCCCTCTTAGCTCTATTGTATCTGTGGACATTCTTGTAGCACATACAAATATATATGTAGAAATAATATCTGCCAGACCTACGTATGGTCATGGGTATATTCCCTTTTGCCTAGCCATACCTAATCATTTAGCCTGTGGTGTAGTGCCTAAGGTATTTGACTGCAAACTAGAAGGCTGGCAATTCAAACCCACCAGCCATTCCTTGGAAGGAAGATTGGGCAGTCTACGTCCATAGAGATAAGCCTCAGAAACCCAAGGAGGGGACGCTATGAGTCAAACTGACTTGACAACAGTGAGTTTGGTTTATATTATTATTATTATTATTGATAATGCAGTGTTGTATATGTAAAAGTGTTTAATTTTTTGTCTGTACCTCTTGTATATCTCTCCATGTCTTCATTTTCCTTAATGTTGTTGTGCTGGTCACTTGCTTTTGGTATATTGCTTTTCCCTTCACCCAAATCAGTACTAGTCTCTTACCTATCTAGAAATTCTTCCTCCTTTCCCTTCTCATCCCTGGTAACCAACAAAGAAAGTTTTCTTCCATATTGTGTTAGACTGGGTTCTCCAGAGAATCAAAGCCAGTAAAGTTTACATATACATATTGTTGTTGTTGTTATGTACCATCGAAATTTATCTTAGGAAAATGGCTCACACACTTACAGAGGATGGCAATTCCCAAGTTCTTGGATCAAACGTCATGCTGGAGGCTTTTGCCGACTTAGACAGCTGCAGGGGCTGACGAGCTCTTGCAGGATACTGGCTGTTGACTCCAACAAATGGCAAATCCAAGATCTCCAGGCCAAATGGTAGATTGTTCACTCAAGGACAGTTGTAGGCAACACAACAGGGTCCCAATTCACAGAAGAGTGTCCCTTCTACCAGGATGTCCATAAATATATTGGAAGCAGGCCACACCCCTAGGGAAACTCCCTTTCAGCGGATTGGCTGCTCAAAACATATACATCTGATCCCATCGTGGAATAACCCACATGACAGTTGCTTAAACCACACAGAATTGTGGTCCAGCCAAGTTGACACACAACTCCAACTATCACAATCCACCTCTTGTCGACTTGGCAGTTGTACACATTTTAACCATATGTAATCTCTAAATAAGGACAATTATGAATTCATATTTGCACTTAACGTGATACACTAACACACATATAACCGAAATGCATTAACCTTATTTACATTTTACAGTTCATAATAGAAGGAAACAAAAACATTTGATGCACGTATACAGTGAGGAAACATAACAATCACAGTCCTCGTTTCTGCAACTGGTCATGTGGTTGTAGCTGATACTCAGAACTACCTTCTCCCACCACCCATTCCATACTTCCCTTGCCCTCAGCAAGCACCTGAGCTGGTCATGGTTCTTTGTCTGGTGGAGTAACCCAAACCTTCATTTCTGAAGGGTCTGGGCCATTAGTGGTCATACCAGAATTGAGTTGCTGTAATTTTCCATTGACTTTAATCACAAGGCATGGTAGTACTAAGAGACGTCCTAAAGAATCTGCTGTATTCTAGATATATTTCTTCTTTACCTCCATTATGTAATGTCAATCCAATTTCCCCTTGGTAATCAGGATCTATCACACCAGACAGTAACGCCTTTCTTTGTATGTTGATCCAGAGGCATGAGGAAGCCAAAATGGCCCCGTGGCATTTTTAACTTCAAGTTCAATGCAATCAGTATTGTGTCTCCAGGTGGGAGTGTTCCTCCTTTTGGGACTAAGATCTCCAGACCTGCAGAGCATAGGGTAGCAGTGGGTCAGACAACACCCAGTTCATGATGGGCAGCTCAGGCCTCATGGTGACTTGGTGTCCTATGGTTAGGCATTCAGTCTCTAAGCCCAGTAACAAGCCAAAAGCTGTTTCTTAAAAGGAGAGAAGTTACCTGCAGAGGATGGCAGGGCTTTGCTCCAAAATCCTAAGGGTCTGCATTGCGATTCACCAATAGGGACCTGCCAAAGACTCCAAACAGCTTCTCTATCTACTACAGACACTTTAAGCACC